ACAAATTAGATGTCATGTTCTCTAACTTAAGGTACACATAAAAGACTACATACTGTTCTTTATACTCTTTGAATAATATCATCCCTATAGCCTACTCTATCTTACCATGCATCATCCGACCCTGCTCTTTCCAATCCTAATCGACCCTACTTTGCCATACACTGCTCTATTCTACCGGACCCTACCATACTGCCTCTTACCCTATCCTACCCATCATACTCTTCCCTACTATCTCTCTGCCATACTCTCCCTCCAACCACTTCCGCTTCAAAAAAATCTCAAATCAAATAAGGAAAAGATTAAGCGGAGTTGCAACTTTTGGAAACACTGACTTCATCCTGAATGTCAAGTGTTTCCCGAACATCTTTAAACTCCATTCGAATGCAGAATTGAGTTGTGTAATCGGCCGAACCGAACACAAAACTCCCACTTTGAAGCCATTCAAAATAAATTAGAAGCCATTTGGAGTGACATTTCAAACCCGTTTTACGCAAAATTTTACTGGTTTATGAAAAAACGGTTGTAAAATGTAAAAACTTGATTGAAATTTGAAAAAAATGCAAAATTTTTTATAAAAAATGGCAAAACTAAGCAAAAAGACGCAAAGTTTAGGTATAAATGATCAAAGAAAACTAGAATAATATAATTTCTCGATTGACGAAACTGAAAAATATAGGTTTTACACCTTTTTTCGAAATCTTTATGCCAATTTACCCACAAGTTCCACTTAAAAATTTCTAAAAACTTGAAATTTGTTTTGCCACCCATAAATGTTTTTTTCAAATTCGTACCCATAAAAACTGTAAAAAGTCAAATTAAACCCATCAAAAGTAAAAAATGCATTCGAAGAAACCAATTCAGATTCTGAACTTGCCGAAACGTTCCACCGTTCCCTGGAGAACTGATTTTGCTTCGACTTTTGACCCTCAAAAAGTGTGATTTTTTATGTTTCTGCAAAGAGTTACGACGTTAAAAGTGGCAAAACATGGCACAAATTTGATCTGGAAACGTTGGTTTGTTCCTTCCGGCTCATGAGCAGTCAATTTTTTAAATTTAAAAGATTTACAGTTAAATAAAAATGGCAGAATAATCAGAAATAAATTTTTGTGGTTTTTTATAATGTAAAAAAGTAAATTTTACAGCCATTTTATTAACACAAGCTTTAATATGACCTCTAAACTCCAAAACAATCAAAGTTTTCATTTTTTCAAAGTCAATTTTGCTAAAAATGGCATTTCTCTAACAAAACCTATTCCAAACCTAATAATTTTAGGCCCAACCCAGCACTATCCCATAACCGCCGTTAAAACAATTTTCAACCACAAATAACCGACGTTTTTCGGACATTCCCTGAGGGCAATCAACAATCCCACCAATATTATATTGTTCTTTATATCGAATACGTAAAGGCTCCCCGGACGACCCGAATGTTCCGTACCGAGAATCGAATATGTATGCGTTTTGGCTGCAACAAATGTCATTGATGATGACATGCACTGTCATCTTTTTGAATGTTGTGAACATTAATGTCATCGCGAAACGTGACAAATTCCAAATTTTTAAAATGCTGATAAAAAGCCATTTTTTGCAAATTTAAGTAGATTTAAGTCAAAAGAGACAATTTTAGGTAATAATTAATCAAGTTAATCAATAATATTTTCTTCAAAAATTAGTTCAAAAATCTACTATAATATACAAAAGTGCCGTTGATAATATGTTTTTATAAAATTTAAGCTTTTTCACGTAGTTCCGAGCAACTTATTCATAATAATACAGTATGTGACGCCAAAATAAAACATTATACTAAAAAAATAGAAAGCAAATTACTACTGTTAAAGGCTAGGCACTAATAATTAATACCCTCTTGAGCCAAAAGTTAATAAACTAACATTTAAAAAGCTTTAATTACGTTTTACCAGCATATACTACCAGGGACGTCGTTTGGGCCCTCCAGAGCCGATCCGAAAAAAATTCCACAGGTAAATACCTGTACGCGGAAAAACGAAAAAAAAAATTTGAAAAATCGGTCCGCAGCTACCTGTGGACCAAAAAAAATTTTTTCGACCTCCCCCCCCCCAGAGAAAAACCGTAGCGACGTCCCTGGTTATAGACTATATTGCAAATTCAGTTTAAAAACTTTGGCGCGCGAAGTCCTGGGACCTTAAGTTGATGTGAATTTTGTGTTTCAGGGGCGATGAAAATATGAATAACGACGTTCCTGGTGCCACTGTGGCCATCGGGAATCTTCGTGCACTAGATCTAAGCTTCTTAAGTACCCCCCTCCCCCAGAGCCGATCCGAAAAAAAATTCCACAGGTAGGAGGTACCTGTACGTAAAAAAATTTTTCGGCCTCCCCCTCCCCCAGAGAAAATCTGTAGCGACGTCCCTGTATACTACTATTATCTACTATGTCTCAGTTAAAGTTACTGGCTGCGCGTAGAAGTACACAGTAGTACTAACGTGCATACCCCCTGCCTATACTTTAACATCAACAAATATGCATGACAAAACAACTAAATAATTTTAAAAACACACAAAAACGTCGAAACTTATCCCAGAAAACCACAGAATAGTAAGAACTAACTAATAAAAACCCAAAATAGTATGAAAAAGATGTTAACTACATTATAATAGGATAGTTCAGCCACCAACATAGCTTGTCATTCACTCACGCCACCTTCCGGTTGTCTCCGAAACTTTTTTTTCTCCAATGTCTTAAGTACAACCACATTTCATGGTCGTTATAGTCGCATAAAAACAAATTAAATTTCCGCTTTCTTTGTTTATTTGCATGGTAAATATTATTATTATTGTTACAATGCGAGGAAAAGTGTAAGAACCGTAAAGTGGTTAACATAATTGTGTTATATGATGATGTAAGGCTTCTAGTGCATAGTAATAAAAAATGTGTTTCGTATAAAACATCAAAAACTTGCCAATAGTGTACTATAGTATATTGTTGGTATAATGAGAAAATTCTTAGTTAAAGCTCTTTCGGCAGCTCTATTTGAGTCCAGTATCTTGATACTTACTGTTTGCACAAGTATTAAGACGTAAAGTAATTTATTTTTCGTATCTTTGTTTGTTTGTGGTTTACAGTTTTTGCTAGTTAATATATAACGTAACATATACGTACAAGCCTTTTTAAAACAAACAATTGAGAAAATCATCTAAAACCTGAGTAAAATGTAAAGTTTCCACTAATACAGTGATTATACACAAAAAACATAATAATCTTAGGTATTACGAAAGAAAACCCATTTTTTCTAAAAAAAATCAGCAAAAAATAGTATTTTGCCTTGTATTCGTATCATTCATACCTAAAAATTCAAAGAAATAATAAAAAAACTCACTTTACCATTTTCTTCTTTATCAAGCTCTTGAGTACGTTAGCCAATGGTCCGGCTAATGCTTCTCAACGTTGGGAAGAGTAAGCTGTGATAAAATGGAGTCATGATTAAAGGTTTATGACGGTTTTTCTAAAATATTTTTAGGATATTTTGATGTTTCGGCAATGCTTGTTTGAATTTAGATTAATATCTACTAATATAAATTTTTCTGCAATTTATAACAATCAACATTGTCAAAACGATAGTTTTTAAAGTTTATGAGCTCCACTTTGTTGTAGAGCGTTCCAAAATTTCTCTTTATCAGCCACTGAAAGTTCAGAGCCGAAACATGAGCTAACCTCAAACTTGGGTTAATAAACCGACGCTAACACCATCTGTTCTGCTTTCAAAAGAACCTTATTTGTCTTTTTAAATGGGTCCAACTTAATATCGGGAGCTGTTCGAGCGATCTTCCACTCTCTCGATATTACACATGAGCGCACTGATGTCTCTCGCTCTATCTTATCCTATGTTCGCATGCTCTGTAACAGTTTATATAAATAGATATACAAACATGCTACAAAGAAAGAGAGTAAAGAGAAACAAAAGCGCACTTATGTATAATATAAGAGAGTGGAAGATCGCTCGAACAACTCCCGATATTGTGTTAGACCTAGTCAAAAAGAGAAATATACTTCTTTTTAAAGTGAAAAACAAGATAACAGCTTCGGTTTATTAACCCAAGTTTGAGGTTAGCTCATGTTTCGGCTCTGAACTTCCAGTGGCTGATAAAGAGAAATTTTAGAACGCTCTACAACAATGTGGAGCTCATAAACTTAGAAAATTAAAAGTTTGATAATTTTTTTGTCATAAAAGGAATAAAATTTTATAAAATACATAATAAACAACATAAATTTAAGTAAAGTGTTTCAAAAAACAGAAAATATTTGGAAAATTAGGAAAATAGACAAAAACAAAATATTTCCAGAAATCCAGTCATTTGTCTAAAAAAACTGTCATCTCACAATTTTTCTTGCTTTTTCTAACAGTTATCTGCTTCATCAACGTTTGAACCAGAAATGAAATATGTGAAATGGAGAAAATTAACGTTGTTTGATGATTCTGAAGCCGGAAAAGCTTCAGCATTAACACTTTTAGTGATTTTTTGGGAGCAAACAAATTGAAGATGTTGTTTTATAGTGAAGATGGTTTTGCTGCAGAAGGATAATACCGAGGATCTCATTGGTAATTTAATGGCTCTTTTCATTTTAGAAACATCAATTGTAATTTTTAAAAAAGTAGTGTGATATCATATTATTATCATTATTAATTTATCAGAACTTTGATCATTGACTACAAAGATTATACAAGACACAGTTTGATCTATTATATTGCAATCTATTGTGGCGTTCATATGAATGTCAATAATATCGTTTCGCTCACAATAAAATTATTGAAACCAAAAGAAATTTGTTTAGAAGTTATCTGTTTACTTGTTTATCAAAAAGTTGGTTGTTGATAGATTGATAACGTATATTATACAAGTATATATAGTTTATTATATACATTTATTTAATATTATATGAACTAATTGTTATTAAATACATTTTATCAATTCTTGTTTAATATTGTAGTCTGTTGAGTATTACTGAAGCTATAACATTAGTAGTAATGTGTGTTACATTCGTCTGTACTGATAGTATTGAGCGTGGATTACCTTACAAATTGATTTTGATCAACAACAGAGATGAGATGTTGGATCGGCCGACTTCGGAGAGTCGGTGGGAGGAGGGATATCTTGCTGGTAAGTTACATTGAAATTCATTACATTAAATAATGGCACATATAAACTTATGTTATAATGGAACTTTAATATAATAAAGCTTTTATATATACAGAGCTTATAATTTTATGTTACGAGAATGATCAATGACTTCAGGTCGAGATGAAATGGCAAAAGAACGTGGAACGTGGCTTGGTATTACGAATGATGGTCGTATTGGGAACATACTATCAATTACCGAACCGAGAGACAAGCCTTTGAAGCCTGGGGCTCCGAGTAGAGGTAATTTTGGCTTATTACTGTTCAGTCTTATGTTTTTGTTGTTACATAGTAAAAAGTTTAAAAGATACTCCAAATTAAACGTAGTAGACGTCGTTGTTTGTAAAATACACGGGAAGCAGCGGTGGCAATGTATTTTTAGGATATATAATCTATAGTAATATACTTTTTCAGGAGCAATAGCCAAAAACTTTTTGGTGAGTAATCAGAATGTGGAACAATTTGGAGAAAAGTTATCAAAGTCAGCTCAAGCTTACAATGGATTTCACTTTGTGGGCCTTCAGTTGTAAGTTTGGCTAGAGGTACATTTAAAGGAAGGCTTTTAAGCTGGGACCTGACATCCATTTTGAGACGAGGGTTTTAGGTTCATTTTCTTGTGATTGGCCTAGTCTAGTATATAATAGATAATAAAGTTCAAAAACCAACTAGTCGTATTTCTTCATTACCTCATGAATCACTGTTGAATACTTTTCTTGTGTTTGTTGTTTGTTCCGTAAATAATCTAGTTAAAAGTGCAAATTTACAAATTCTTGTTGTATTTATTATTGTGAAATAGTTTTTAATAATTCAGGATTTTTTGCAGAAATTCCTCGCGGTGTTTCGACGTTTTTTGCATGACAAATCGGCTTGTACCTGAAATACATTTGCATAAATGGCCAAAAGGCAAGTACAGTGCTAGTTTGACTAAATAAACACTATGGTCATTCAACAGAGTATGATCAAAAAGTTTTTACTGCTTTAATGACATTTTAAAGTTTTTAAATACCATATAATAATCCGGTAAATTTACCGGTAAAAACCGGTAAAATTTTTACCGAAAAATCAATTTACCGGTAAATGTCCAACCCTAGTTTGTAGAAATTTGAAAAATTTATCATAAAGTTGCAAAATTAGCCAAAATGCTGCTTTTCGGACTAAAATAATGTAATTTCTGTCTAATTATTGACCGGAATTGGTAATTTTTTACATTTTTGGATTAAGATGTTAATTGTAAAAGTACTATTATATTGTTCAACTAATTCTGTGCTTCCTATTCTCAAAAATTTGCGTTAAAAGGGGCACAGGGTTTTTGGACAACCTAATAGTAAGCTAGAAACTTATATAAATCTCAATTTCAGGCTTATATGGCTTTGGAAACAGTCCAAGATCGTCTCAAATGAGGAAAGTCGAAAGAGGAGAGAAGATATTTAAAGACGTAGTAGACAGTTTACATGGTAAATCTGAAGATGAAATGGTTGAAGCTTTTTTGTCAATACTTAAGGATACTGAAAAGTAAGTTTGACTGTTATGAGATACGATATATTATTTTTTACTATGGCATTTTACAATAGTTTTTGTGGTTTTGCATTTTTTTGAAAAATTTTTTAAAATTTAAAGTCTAAAAAATTAAAAATTAAATTTGAAAAAATATTGTTACTGTAAACAAAAATTGTATAAACATTAATATCTTGCAAAATTTACGATGTATTTGCTATAACTCCAAATTAGCCAAAATACGTGTTACTTTACAAAAATTTAACATGTAGTACGATATAACATCATAGTAATCGCATTTCTTTTTGTAGGGTTGGTATCTTGCAAAAAAGTGTAATACACTTAAAGGCTTTTTATGATTAGAATAGTTGGTCGGTTAAAATATTCGCACACAAAATACTATGTACTAAATACTATATAAATATATGACTAAAATAATGAGTCCAAGGACTTTTGTCGCACCCTATTATTAGTTTGTTCAAATAATTCTGTGCTTTCTCTCAGCTTATTTGCGTTGTTATGGGCGCAAAATTATTTGAACAACCTAATCGTATGTTTGTATCGCTAATATTTTTAATGGATTGTAGAGTTCAAAAGTTTAGATACATACAGTAATTAACAGTGATTAAAAATGTAGAAAGATAGGGGTTTAAGGTGGGATTTAAGATTTATGGTTGCGATACTGTGTTTTACATATGGCTTGTATTATAATGTAATGTGTAATATATTATAGTTTACCTTTGTGGTATTAAGAGGATTTTCAGAATATACCCATGTAAACAGTACGCCTTACAAACTCAGAAAGATGAAAGTTACTACAAGTACTTGACTTCCCTCTTTGTCCAGTTTCCACATGAGATTGTCAAGTATGGTACGAGGTATGTTGTTATATTATGTACAGCGTTCGGGTTGAGTTTTGAAGGCTAAAGGTTAAGGGGAGGGGGTAAGTAAGTAAAGGAGAGATAACATAACCTAAGGATATGAATAGGGCCAGGGCTAAATCTGGAACTACGACTAGGACTATGGCTAATAATAGGTCTAGAGCTGAAGCTATGGGTAGGGCTAGTGCTACGGCCAACTAGGGTTACGTATATGGCTATGACTAGAGAGGTGTCGGGGAAGCTTATCATAGTAATCTAGGAACTTCAATTTTTAAATTTTTTCTTGTGTTTTCTATGGATTTTCTGACCGGTTTTTAAGTTTCACATAGTGTCATGGATGGTCTATACTTATATTTACAAAATTCTGTTTCAGATGTCACACGATGATATTGGTGGACAAAGATGACCATGTAAAGTACATTGAGATACGACTGGTGGATTCTGGAGCCAACAAATGGGAAAAGTTGGTCCATCAGTTTATTTTAGATTAGTGGTAGAGCTATATTACATTCGTTAACATACATAATATATAAGGTTTTGTTTGAACTACTTTAGTTGTTATTTTGTGTTATAAACTATGTTACAGTAGACTAGGATTACTATTTTTTGAAATATACAGTAATCTGGACTGAGGATTTTACATTGATTTAGATTTACGGAGTTTAAGCTGCTATAGATAAGATCTAAACGCTTTTGTTCTCCACATCAACACCCATACATTCAGAACATCATGTCATCGTGAACGTTTTTATGTTCCGAAATTAAACGGTCACAGAACATTCGTCTACGTGTTTGTGGAGCGGAACAATGGCAGAAGAAGTGACATTACTTGCAAATTGAGCTAAACTGACATCATGGGTCGGCTGCTAAACATACCACCCTCACAAACAGATACGAAGTCAAATAAACGAAAGAATAATGGTTTAAAAATGGCATTTAACAAGTAAATATTTTTTAATTTCTTACTGTAATAAGAATCTTACAGTAGGACTAGTAGGGTTGGTTGGTTTGGAACGTGGTGGTTTGGGATTGAAAGGGGTGGGGTAAAATGGGATAGGGATGCATAAACGGGGGTCGAGCGGGGCATGCCCGCTATTTTTCCTGATGCCTACAGTTAGGGTAGCGTGGGTAAGGTAAATTAGGGTAACACGATATAAGACATGATCATTCGGCCCAGCCCGGTTTCAGACTTGACCGAACTCTAGCAAATTTGAAAAAGACTGGGTCTACTCATGTGGACCTGAATGCCATAGTCCAAATAAGTAAAATATTGGCACAGTCCTTGTGCTTAGCCGAAAAGTTAGACTTGATCTGGCCTCTTTACTGGGTTAGAAATGACATTAAAAACCTCATTTCAAATTTAAAAATTTTAATTTTTTGCTGTCTTCAAATTTTTGATTAAACTTTCAAAAGTGCACGAACATTAAATTAATGAAAGGTTGAGACTAATGGTGCTCAACCATGTCTTTTGTCTAATATCTAATTGTATACATAATAAATTATCACATATCAAGAGTTGAAAAGATTTTGACTACGATTTTACGTAGTTTCTACAGTAATTTACATCCGACATTTGAATGTCTTATGTATTGTTGGCTTTAGGGCTTATAAAAAATGGCAGTGTCAGGAAATATGTTTTTTTTTGTTGAAAAAGCATTGTTTTAAATGGATTTTTTTTTATTTTGAGGATGATAAGGTAATTAAAAATGGCTATTTTATATCATTTTTTACAAAGGGAGTTGACTAAAAGTTTTCATAGAAAGTACCTATATTACTATAGCTTCATAATCTCTAATAACTCTTTATTTTATATCACACTGACCTTTGGCGCTATATTTCAAGCCGTTACTTATATGAGTTCAAATTACTCACAGAAACATCATAGCTGTTATTGTTTTTAAAAATGAAATTAGAATATATTACTCAATGTATTGTTAGCCTACTGTAGCATACTTGGTATACGAACTCTGAAATGACTTCATTTTCTTGCAAATCCCTTGATTTAATATTCTTTGACCTTTTATAATCAGTAATGTATTCGGAGTGGAATATTTTAAAATATCTTGAATTTTCGGGATTTTAAATTTAATAAATTGAAAGTGGACATTTTACAAGAATAATACGGCACTGTTAGAACTGTGGCTAGGACTAGGGTTAGGTGGGAGAAATGGGCCGTGTAGGCCCAGCTTGGCCTAACAATTGGGCCGGACCGGCTTAGAGCTAAAGCTCGTACAACTTGAGCACTGCGTCGGGGCCGGGCCTCTAAAGCAAGCCCGGATGAGCTCAGCCCAACGATTGTGGCGGGCGGCCTTGAGCTAAACTTGAAACGAGCCGGGTCAAATTTGAGCCTTGGGCCTGGGCCGGGCTATAAAAATAGACTCGACTCGTTTCTCACTTTTAGCTAGAGCAGAAGCAAGGACTAGGGCTAGGGGTGAGAACGGGTCGTGTAGATTCGGCCCACCTTGGCGTCCGGATCAGACTTGAGCTAAACGTGAGACGGGCCTGGCCTAAAAGTTTGGTGTTGGTCTCGGTCCGTTTTTCATCCCTACTCAGGGCTAGGGCCAAGGTTTTTTTTCGTATATTTTACCTATTTTTTCAATACACAAAGCTTCATAAATCACACTGCAAAACAATTATTAAAATCTGTTATGTCCGTAAATAGCAGCGTGTGTATGTCACGTTGTTAGACATACACAGCTAAATCCGAACCGGCAAAGATTTGCATAATGCGAACGTAAACAAGAGATTAGACATTGGTTTGGGTGTGATTTGGCACTGGTGTTTTTACGTTTTTGCAACAAAAATGCCGTATTTCACAATTTTTTTACAAAAAGATTTTAAAAGTGTAAACAGGGAGATAGATGGACGTAACATACGATTTCTCAAAAGCTAAAAATATACATTGTCTTATGTATATGAAGGTATTTTTTGATAATAGGGATCTTAAATTTTAGGGTAGGGTAGAGAAGGGTAGGGTTGGTTAAGTAGGGTATAGTAGAGTAGGTTTTCTCCAAAAAAATTGAAAAAAGAGTTTTAATGCTTTCAATCTGAAGTACTGTAACTTAATTATATATTCTTAAATGACGCTATAACTTTTACATTTAAATTGTACGTATAAATTTTATATGTTGTACTAATAATTTATGTTTATGTGCTAATCAGCTTATAAGTTTACACTTTATTGTTTTTAACGACGTTTTATAATAACTGCTTGTAAGAATGCGTACTTTGATGTTGTTGTAGGCGACTCAAAAATCTGGAGTTAAATATTTTTAGAAATGTAAATTTAATTGTAATAAGTTACAGTAATTGTCTTTCTGTTTTGCATTATACAGTAAAACCTTATTATAAAAAGTTTTTAAAGTCATGTTTAGTGTTCTTTGACTAAATTTTTGTGATTTGTGACTGAAGGTGTGTTTTATGGTATATTATGTTCATAATACTATAACACATGGTCTACTGCACCAAGTTACAATTAAAAATGTCACTTTTACACTTTTTACAAAAATATAATTGGCTATAATTGGCGGTAAGGGGGAAGCAATTTACAGGTCATGACGTTAATGATAGGTACATTTGTAGCATAGTGCGTTGACACGTAGTACTGTAACTTCTGACGGCATTAAAATTGATGTCTTAGTTTAGATTTACTGTTCAGTCAATGTATGATTAACTGCGTAATAATTAAAAATTTTTTTATAATAGTATTAAAATTTACTGTTACAAACAGTTTAACACAGTACAGATTATGTTTGCAGCTCTACAAACATTAAAACAGCTTAAGATCAGGTTAGCATTTTTAATGAAACCCTGCTTCAACATACCTCTAATAAGCTGAAACCATTTATTAGTACGTCTATAACAAAAAACTGTGAGCTAAAACAATATTTGAAAAAATTTTAATTAAAAACTGCTGGTTTAGGCTAATCTCAATTTGTTTTTGAGGGTTAATCGTGGCTGTTCCAATGTAATATAAATGTAAAATGTTAATCCGTTTTGTCTTTTATCTTGTGGGTGTAAGCTATATTAACATGCGTACAGTAATCGATTGAGACAGCTTCAATATAGAGCTTCTAAGCGGCGTTAAAAGTGTAATCAAAGTGGATTTCGTAAGCAATTTCTGCTTTTTTAAATAAAAAAAATTTTTAATTTTTGGGGTCTGGTGGTGAAAAAAGGATAAGGTAGGATAGTTTGTGCTGCTGGTGCTTTAGATGGTCAAAATGGTGCAGAGTGGTGCTAGTAAAAAAATTTTTTTGGTTGTAACTTATAAACTAATTTGTTTAGTTATGTGCTTCTGTTGGCGTAGGGTAGGGTAGCGTAACTACAAAGCATAAGTCAGGCAGAGGCAAGACATCGGCAAGGCAAGGGTAGGGTAGGTAAAGTAGGGTAGTGTAGATTAAAAGGCAAAAAAATGGTAACATGGATGCAAGACATAGACAAGCCAAGTTTAAGTTAGGGTAGGGCAGGGCACAAAAATTTAATTTTATATTATACATCTATAGTACAATACCCTATTGCAATAACTCTTTCCTTGCAGACATAAATAAATTTCGGAAATTACCGCAACAATCCGCCAGAAATAGATGACAGTGACAAACTGCTTGCTAGCACGCTTGCAACTAAAATAATGTTTTTGGGGGCAATTACCGGCCCAATGTACGTCAATCTACGATGGCTACTCTGTATTTTTATTTTTTCACGTTTCTTTAAAATGACGTGATTTTAATTTTTTTGTTATTATGGGGATGTGATGGCTAATATTGGAGGATATTGATTGACATCATGGTTAATATGTTTGACATTTGTTGTTTTTATAAAAAGTAGTGTATAGTAGGTATTATATTACTTTATATTACATGTATTAGTCATCTGAAGCCTTACAACTGTTTTTTAATGACTGAAACAATTATATTTCTACAAAGGGATATATGTATGTAAAAATGTATGATCATCAGCTATACACGCCGTATTTTACAAAATTTATCCAAAAAAAAATAATTTTTTTTTAATTTTTCTGTAAAATTTTTTACCATTACAACGTCTTTTACTATAGTAATATCACAAAAGTCTCACCATTCAGTTCACGCTTAATTAGTCTGCATAACTTTGTAGAATTACAATACAGTATGACTAATATATACAAGCCCACATCATAAAGAGTAGTTAATTGAAAAGAAATGTAATATCATAGATCCACGTCAAGTCTAAAGAACAGCTAACAACATTCATAGGAACAGTCATAGAACATTACTAATATAACAGTAGATTAATAGGAAAGTTCACGTCATAGTAAAGAGAATAAACGTTATTTTGAACTAAATTTTAGTGTTAATTTTAAAATTTGTTTGCCAATATACATTTTTAGCTAACAAATTGTAAGAGTTGTTTTTTAATTGAAAAATAGTTTCTTAATGTTTATTATTGTTTTTCTTGATGTTTCTCACTACAAGGTAAGATAGTGTCACTAAATTATTTAGAAAAAAGTAATTTT